CGGGGCACGCGTAGAAGACTTGTTACGCTGGCAGACCTTACAACTGCGAACATACTCTACGCAGTCATTCTTCATCCCTGGCCAGGTTTACGCGCGCATCAGATTGACTAAGGTCTTTTGCCAACCAAAATGACCCTCCGTGTCATGGCATTCTCCCAGGATCAGACTGCGGATCTCTTCGCTATTGGGGATGCACAATCGGTCAAAAACATTAGTCTTCTAAAAAAACAACCCTTCAGTAGTGCGGTAGTTCAGCTCGGTCTCTGGGGCCTCCTTGACTTTCTTAAGGAACTCACCATAGATAGGGTCCTGCACGTAGGCTTCTCTAACCTGCTGCTGCAGATCCTTTCCTATATCGAGGTAATGTACTATTGCCCCAAAATAATCAGCTCTTCTACTCAGAGCATCCGCGACTATGTTGTACTTCCCTTTGACAGGCTTGAGCTCAAAGTCGTACTGATCTATCTCTGCGGCCCACCTAGTAAGCTTAGGTGTCATCTTGGCCTGCGTCTTTAACCATCGTAACGTTTCATGGTCAGAATAGACTTTGAAGTGCCTCCCAAGCAAGTAGTGCTTCCAGTGGTCTAAGGCTTGCCTGAGAGCGTAGAATTCCCTCTCGTAGGTAGATGTCGCGACCTTCTCTGAAGGCATTCTAGCGGACATGAACTCTACGGGTCTATACCCATTGCCATCGTCTTGCTATAACACTGCGCCTATGCCATACTGGCTAGCATCCGTAGTAACGACAAAAGGCAAGGACGGATCGGCGACCTTAAGGACCGGGTACTCTATCAACGCCTGATTTAGCTTCTTCATGGCAGACGTGCAGTCCTTGTCCCACTTYCAGATTGTCTCTTTTCTTAGCAATTTGCGAAGGGGCGCAGCGATGGTGGAGAAGTTCCTCACGAACTTCCTGTAGTAATTTACTAAGCCTAGGAACGAGCGCAACTCTGTCAGCGTACGTGGCGTGGGCCAATCTCTAATCGCTGCGATCTTGCTATCTTCTGGCTTAACGCCGTCTCCGTCTAAGACGTGGCCTAGATACAAAACTTGGGTCTTCGCCCAATCGCACTTCTTCGCATTGATCTTGAAGTTAGTTTCTCTCAGCTTCTCCAAGACCTGCCTGAGATGACGCTGATGCTCGTCGAGGGTCTTACTAAACACTAGAATGTCATCTAGGTACACTACAACAAATCTATCTAGCCATGGCCTAAACAAATCGTTCATACAACGCTGGAACGTAGCTGGCGCATTGGTTAGTCCAAAGGGTATCACTATAAACTCTAGTGCCCGTACCTAGTCCGGAAGGCTGTCTTATACTGATCATCAGGATGTACCTCTATCTGATGGTATCCGGACTTTAAGTCTATCTTAGAGAAGTACTTGGCCCCTTGCACTCGATCTAATAGATCGTCTATCCTAGCCAGTGGCTCAGCATTCTTTACTGTAATAGCATTCAGACCCTTATAGTCTATACACATCCTCAGCTCTCCCTCTTTCTTAGGGACAAAGAGAACAG